TAGACTTACTGTTCCACATGGCTAGGGAAGGCCTCAGAATCATGGCAGGAGGTGAAAAACACTTCTTAAATGGCAGTGGCAAGAGAAAAATAAGGAAGAGGCAAAAGCAGAAACCCCCAATAAACCCATAAGATCTCAGGAGACTTATTCACTATCACAAGAATAGTACGGGAAAAGACTGGCTTCTATGATTCAATTACCTCCCCATGGGTCCCTCTGACAATATGTAGGAATTCTGAGAGATACAATTAAAGTTGAGATTTGGGTGGGGACATAGCCAAGCCATATCATGTATACAACAGAATATTATTCAGCCTTAAAATGGAAGAAAATCCTTTCATATGCTACAATATGGATGAACTCTGATGACATGTTAAGTGGAATAAACCAGCCACAAAAAGGCAAATACTGTATGATTCCACTTTTATGAGGTACCTAATCAAATTCATAAAGGAAAATACAATAGCAATACCAGGGACTGATCAGAGGGGGCAGAGAGGAATTGTTTAAAAGGTACAGAGTTTCAGTTTTATAAAATAAAAAATTTCTAGATATCTGTTTCACAGTTTGAATATACTGAACAATACTGAACTATACACTTTTAAATGGTTGAGACAGTAAATTTTTTATTATGTGTTTTTTACAATGATAAATATGGTATACCCTCACAATGAAGTACCATGCAGCTAAAAAAAGTGTGTAAGGTATTTATTCCACCTTTTAAATCCAAGTAGTGTGCATACAAATACATAAACATATTTCTCTATATTTTTTATAATGATAACTAAAACTAAGAAAAAATTCTAAATGACTTTCTATGGGGAATGAAGAAAAAAGGGTAGAAGGAACAGGCATGAAAGCTAGACTTCTCTGAATAAACTGTGCTTTGGACATTTGACTCTGGATCACATAAACATTTCATATAACTGTAAAAACATAATCAAATAAATTTTTTAAAGCCCCTAAAAATAGAAAGCAAAATGGTACACATGAACATTTCTTAATCAGGGAGATCTCACTTTAAAGAGACTTACATATATCAATCAAATCCCAAGTATGGAACTTGTCTGGATTCTATCTAAAAAAAGCAACCTCAAAAAAAATTGTTTTGAAAATAATCTGGAAAATTTCCATTCTTTTGCATTTGCTGAGGAGTGATTTACTTCCAATTACATGGTCAATTTTAGAGTAGGTGTGATGTGGTGCTGAGAAGACTGTATATTCTGTGGATTTGGGGTGGAGAGTTCTGTAAATGTCTATTAGGTTTCCTTGGTCCAGGTCTGAGTTCAAGTCCTAAATATCCTTGTTTATTTTCTGTCTCGTTGATCTGTCTAATATTGACAATAAGGTGTTAAGTCTCCCACTATTACTGTGTGGGAGTCTAAGTCTCTTTGTAAGTCATTAAGAACTTGCTTTATGTATCTGGGAGCTCCTGTATTGGGTGCGTATATATTTAGGATCATTAGCTCTTCTTGTTGCATTGATCCTTTTACCATTATGTAATGTCCTTCTCTGTCTCTTTTGATCTTTGTTGGTTTAAAGTCTATTTCTGTCAGAGACAAGAATTGCAACTAGACAAGGATGTCCTCTCTCACCACTCCTATTCAATATAGTATTCGAAGCTCTAGCCAGAGCAATCAGGCAAGAAAAAGAAATAAAGGGTATTCAATTAGGAAAGGAGGAAGTCAAATTGTCTTTATTTGCAGAGGACATAATTGTATATCTAGAAGACCCCATGGTCTCAGCCCAAAATCTCCTGAAACTGATAAGCAACTTCAGCAAAGTCTCAGGATACAAAATCAATGTGCCAAAATCACAAGCATTCCTATACACCAATAAGAGACTTAAAGAGAGCCAAATCAAGAACGAACTGCCATTCACAATTGCTACAAAGAGAATAAAATACCTGGGAATACAACTAACAAAGGATGTAAAGGACCTCTTCAAGGAGAACTACAAACCATTGCTCAACGAAATAAGAGAGGACACAAATAGATAGAGAAACATTCCATGTTCAGGGTTAGGAAGACTCAATATTGTGAAAATGGCCATACTGCCCAAAGTAATTTACAGATTCAGTGCTAAGCTACCAATGACCTTCTTCACAGAACTTGAAAAAACCACCTTAAACTTCATATAGAACCAAAAGAGAGCCCACATAGCCAAGTCAATTTTAAGCAAAAAGAACACAGTGGGAGGCATCACACTGCCAAACTTCAAACTATACTACAAGGCTACAATAATCAAAACAGCATGGTACTGGTACCAAAACAGAGATATAGACCCGTGGACCAGAACAGAGGCCTCGGAGGCAACACCACACATCTACAACCATCCGATCTTTGACAAACCTGACAAAAACAAGCAATGGGGAAAGGAGTCCCTGTTTAATAAATGGTGTTGGGAAAACTGGCTAGCCATGTGCAGAAAGCAGAAACTGGACCCCTTCCTGACACCTTACACTAAAATTAACTCCAGATAGATTAAAGACTTAAACATAAGACCTAACACCATAAAAACCCTAAAAGAAAACCTAGGCAAAACCATTCAGGACATAGGCATAGGCAAGGACTTCATGACCAAAACACCAAAAGCATTGGCAACAAGAGCCAAATAGATAAATGGGACCTAATCAAACTCCACAGCTTCTGCACAGCAAAAGAAACAGTCATTAGAGTGAATTGGCAACCAACAGAATGGGAAAAAATTTTTGCAATCTACCCATCTGACAAAGGGCTAATATCCAGAATCTACAAATAATTAAAACAGATTTACAAGAAAAAAACAAGCCCATTCAAAAGTGGGCAAAGGACATGAACAGACACTTTACAAAAGAAGACATTCATGAGGCCAACAAATATATGAAAAAATGCTCATTATCACTGGTCATTAGAGAAATGCAAAACAAAACTACATTGAGATACCACCTCATGCCAGTTAGAATGGCAATCATTTAAAAATCTGGAGACAACAGATGCTGGAGAGGATGTGGAGAAATAGGAACACTTTTACACTGCTGGTGGGAGTATAAATTAGTTCAACCATTGTGGAAGACAGTGTGGCGATTCCTCAAGGACCTAGACATAGAAATTCCATTTGACCCAGCAATCCCATTACTGGATATATATCCAAAGGATTATAAATTATTCTACTATAAGGACACATGTACACGAATGTTCATTGCAGCACTGTTTACAATAGCAAAGACCTGGAACCAACCCAAATGCCCATCGATGATAGACTAGACAGGGAAAATGTGGCACATATACACCATGGAATATTATGCAGCCATCAAAAGCTATGAGTTCGTGTCCTTTGTAGGGACATGGATGAACCTGGAAACCATCATTCTCAGCAAACTGACACAAGAACAGAAAATCAAACACCACATATTCTCACTCATAGGTGGGTATTGAACAATGAGAACACATGGACACAGGGAGGGGAGCATCACACACTGGGTCTATAGGGGGGAAATAGGGGAGGGACACCAGGGTGTGGGGAGTTGGGGAGAGATAGCATGGGGAGAAATGCCAGATATAGGTGAAGGGGAGGAAGGTAGCAAATCACACTGCCACATGTGTACCTATGCAACTATCTTGCATATTCTTCACATGTATCCCAAAACCTAAAATGCAATTAAAAAAAAAAAAAAGAATCTGGAAAATTTGAATACTAACAATACTTGATAATATTAGTGACAATATTAGAGATTCAATATTAAACATTTTTTGTGTAATAATGATATTTTGGCTTTTTTTTTTTAACATCATGGGAATTTCACTATATTGCCCAGGCTGGTCTTGAAGCCACACCATCATCCTGCCTCAGTCTCCTGAGTAACTGGGACTATAAAGTATGCCACCATGCCCAATTATATTTTTTTGTTTTTTTGTGGTTTTTTTTTTTTTTGGCAGAGTTTTGCTCATTGCCCAGGCTGGAGTGCAATGATGCAATCTCAGCTCACTGCAACCTCCACCTGGCAGTTTCAAGTGATTCTCCTGTCTCAGCCTCCCGAATAGCTGGCATCACAGGGATGCACCACCACACTCGGCTAATTTTGCATTTTTAGCAGAGATGGGGTTTCACCATGTTAGTCAGGCTCAAACTCCTGACCTCAAGTGATCCACCGGCCTTGGCCTCCCAAAATGCTGGGATTACAGGCAAGAGCCACCATGCCCAGTTCCAATTATGTTTTTAAAAAGAGTCCTTATTTTTTGGAGATTCCCCCTAAAACATTTCATAAATGAAATGATAAGATGTTGGGATGAAATAATATATTAGGATTTGCTTCAAAATACCCTGGGAGATTGCAGGCAGAAAAAGGAGTAAATAAAAGAGGAGATGAAATAAGTTTATAATTGCTCAACTGGGTAATGGATATAGGAAGATTCATTATATATACCATTTCTATTTTTTATTTTTCACTTTTTTTTAACTTAAAAATATGGAACAGTCAGCCAGGGATATTGGCTCACGCCTGTATCCCAGCACTTTGGGAGGCCAAGGAGGGCAGATCATGAGGTCAAGAGATCAAGACCATCCTGGCCAACATGGTGAAACCCCATCTCTACTAAAAATACAAAAACTTAGCTGGGTATCGTGGTGAGAGCACCTGTAGTCCCAGCTACTGGGGAGGCTGAGGCAGAAGGATCACTTGAACCCAGGAGGTGGAGGTTGCAGTGAGCAGAGAACACACTACTGCACTCCAGTCTGGCAACAGGGCAAGACTCCAGCTCATAAAACTTAAAAAAAAAAAGGAACACTTCACAAATTTGTGTGCCATGCTTGCACAAGGGCAACACTAATCTTATTCCAATTTTAGTGTATGTGCTGCTGAAGCAAGCACACCATTTCTATTTTCTACTGATAAAAGTTTTCTTTAAAATCCTCTAATTCATGAATTTCCTGGTTATCTCTTTAAAGTGATTATCATGAAGTATCAATCAATCATGATTTGTTAGAAAAAAAATACCTAAAAATAAAGCATAGTACATTACCTTTGTAAAAGTGACAGGGATGCTGGCATCCAATTGAATGTGATCTGCAACCTCTGTAAACTGCTGCTGCTGTTTCTGCAATGTTTCCAGTAACCTTGTAATTTCCTGTTTTGCCAAGACAACTCTACAATCATCCTAGAAGAGGCAAAACAATATTTCTTATAAACTTTTTATAAGAAATAAGGAAAAAAGACATATTACCAACTCACAATAAAAGCAGTTTTACACAGTAGTTAAAATTAACCTGAATATAAACTTGACAAGAATAATAATTGGGCATTAATAAGTTAAGGACCTGTCAACAAAAGAATGAATAAATTGTTGCATATTGATAAATGGAACTCTACATACCAGTGAGAATAAACCACAGTTACAAGTGATGATAGAAATTTCTCAAACATAATATAGAATAAAAGAAGACATGGCATGGAGAATTTGCACTGTAAGATTTCATTTAATTACCAAAACAACCATAATTAAGATATACCTTAGAAGTCAGAATAGTGGTTTATCATGGTGGGAAAGGCAGGTAGTGGTCAGAAATGAGTATGAGGGGACTACTGGAGTACTGACAATGTTCTGTTACTTGATCTGGGTGCCAGTTAATGATCAGTCTGAAAATTCAGCCAACTCAATACTTACATACATTTCTGCATCTATGTTCTACTTCTATACAAAGTTTAAAAAATAATTTAAAACATACATGTATTCATTTAAAAAATAAAGAATAAGGTCAAACTCCCTCTAGATCCCCAGGACTGCTCCTCAAAATCAAGAACTTTCCAGTTTCTTGAATATTATTCCAGACTAGCTATACAAATATCAATATAGTCTTTATATGAAAGAGATATCCCAATAATATGCAAGCTCCAAAAGAACAATAGTATTATATGTTTTTGCTCACTGTTGGATACTCATATTAGTTGATGGCAATTTCACTTTCCAGTTGCTCAGAACAAAAACACTGAAGTCATTATTGCTTTACCTTTCCAACATGTCCTACATACAATCTGTTAACAAACCCTATTGAATATCCAGAATCTGGACACTTTTAATCCCCATTAACCAATCCACTATTACCTCTCATCTGGAATTCAACAACAGCTACCTTACTTGAATTCCTTCTTTCCATTTTTGCCTTCTTTCAATCTATTTTAGACACATAGGCCAGAAAAATCCTTTTAACACGTAAGATTAAGTCACTCTTCTATTTAAAACTCCACAATGGTCCTCCTATCCCAATCAGTAAAAGCTGAAGTCCAGCCAGGCATTGTGGCTCACATCTGTAGTCCCAGCACTTTGGGAGGCTAAGGCAGATGAATTGCTTGAGCCCAGGAGTTTTAGACCAGTCTGGGCAACATGGTGAAACTCTATCTCTACGAAAAACAAAAAACTTAGCTGGATGTAGTAGCTTGCCCCTGTAGTCCTGGCTACTCAGAAGGCTGTGTGGGAGGATCACTTGAGCCCAGGAGGCAGAGGGTACAGTGAGATGAGATTCTATCACTGCACTCCAGTCTGGGGGCAAGACCCTGTCCTCAGCTGCCAAAAAACAGTTGAAGTCTTTATAATAGTTCACATGGCCTTCCATACATGTAATTCTCTTATAACCTCTGATTTCACCTCCTATTACTCCCTCCTTCACTTATTTCTACTCCAGTCAAGAGGCCTATTTTCCTGTCCCTTCAGTATAACAGGCATGCTGCCCTAGGGTTTTTGCTATAAACATTCCCTCAACTAGAATGTTCTCCCAGTTAGGCCTTGAGCAAATTCCTTCAACTTTTTACTGAATCTTTGCTCGAATCTCACCTTCTCTCAATAATGCTTATCCTGACTACTTTACTTAATAATGCAATCTGCTGTACAAATACAAACATGTAGTTGTAGAGTTCTTTTTTGATTAGCTCTTACCACTTTCTAATATATGTACAATTTACTTACTTAGATATGGTTATGATTTATTGCCTGTCTTCTTGCTAGAATACTAATTCAATAAGAATATCGCTTTTTGCTAATTTTGTCCATTGATATATTTTAAATACACAGCATATGTTAGATGTTCAACACATATTTGCTAAATGAATAAATTTTCAGCATCCAGTATCATGCCAAGAACTTAGATGATACATGAATTATTTGGAGTGAATGTAAGATTAAATTATATTCTCAAAAATGAAGATCAATTTGTGATGTTCCATTCCTCTGTTCAATTTTCTCTGTAGTGGGAACTTTTAAGAACATTGGTTAGTATTCTGTGGTCATAAAATAGAACAAAACTAATAGATCCATATGAAAAATGAATCCAAGACCTTGATTTTTTTTACATTAACATAGTAAGATAATACTGTATCATTAACAATTATCAGTTAATATGGTTTGGCTCTGTGTCCCCACCCAAATCTCATCTCAAATTGCTCCCTCTTGATAGTACCTTACATGGGACCAGCTAGCAACACAATTACGACTGTAGAGTGCTAGCCCTACTATCACAAAGCAGAGGAAAGAAGAGTAGGTTTGGAGCTGAATATCAACTTGATAAATAGCATATATATCAACTGTTACAATTCAGTGTAGTGGGGACTAAATGATAACCCAAGACTGATAAGGCTATAGACTGGCCACACTCATGTAAGCGTAATCAGATATTTAAGAGAAAAAGTTCTGCAATGGTAAAACGCTTAGCCTTCAATTATTTGAAATCAATACAATTATGACCAATGTATCAGTGAAGATAACACAGACTGCAGCTTTTCTAAAAACTATTATTCCTAGGGCAATAGTTACCCTTATACCTCACACTTATGAAAGCAGATCCAAAACACAAATGGGTAAGGCTGACATTTGTGTCAGAATAACCTTGAATCTCATTTATTTAAAAAGTGAGTCACCTGCAAACTGGGCAACAAATTACTTATGATCTCTCAACCATCACAAAACATGTTTGTTTTAACAGTGACAAATCACTGAATTACAGCAGATATAGGTAGTACATGCTAGAGAGGCACTCAAAAAAAGACCAACAAAGAGAAAGCTTCAAAGAAAAGCAAACATTTAACCTGGACCTTGAAGGAGACAGACGATTTCCACTATTAGAAAAGAGAGACATATATACTCCAAGCAGAAAAAAAAACAGTACATATAGGCTTGGCAAAGAAGAGTAAAAGGGTTCACATGAACAAGAGGACACTGATAATTCCACACTAGTGAAATAAGTCAAGGTTGCAGACCATTCCTAAGCACAGTTACTGCATACAGCAAACACAAAATATTTATTAATAAAATAGACTAATGTATACCTCTAGTAATTATCTACTTAAACTAAGTCCCTAACCACATTTAAACTACCTACCTGCTGCAAAGTCTTTTCACAATGGAGGCAGGCTGCTGAAACCTCAGACAACAAAATAGTCATATCTTCTTGTTGCTGCTTGAGCCAAATCAATTTTTCACGAACATGAGCATCAACAACACTTAGAGCCATTTCTTCTTGACGACACAGAGTTTCATGCAGATCATAAAAATAAGCTCGAATACATGACCGAGCATTCTCTGCAGTCCCTGGTACCTAAGAAAATGAAAATAAAATTTAAGCAACTGTAATGTTAATAAATATTTTACATGTGAAATATTTAAAATTTCAGCCTGGGCAACATGGCAAAACTCTGTCTCGACAAAAAATATAAAAAATTAGCCAGGCATGGTGGCATGTGCCTGTAGTCCCAGCTACTTGGGAGGCTGAAGCAGGAAGACTGATTGAGCCCCAGAAGTCAAGGCTACAGTGAGTCGTTATCACATCACTGCCCTCCAGCCTGGGTGACTGAGCGAGACGTTGTTTAAATACTGTCTATATTAAATTCCAAAATATAAATCTCCATACTAGATCTTTCCCCTAAGGAACACACTTTGGAAATTCAACTGTTTATAAATGACATCTCAAACAAAATGGAATGCCTAATCTCCAGTCTCCCTCATTCCCAAACCTAATTGCCTCTGTCTTAGTAAATGGCAACTCAATCCTTCAGGATGTTGAAGCAAAAAAAAACTGGAGTCATCCTTAACACCTCTCTTTCACAGCCCATTAGTCCCTCAGCAAATTATGCTTACCAAAAATATCTAGAATCTGATCATGCCTCATCACCTCTACTTCTACCAACCTGATCCAAGCTATTATCATCTCTCAACTGATTAGGATAACAGCCTTCTAACTGGTCTAACAGCCTGACCTTCCAAGTTACCTATCCAATCAATATTAACAATTAATCACTTATTCTACTTCTTTAAAAATCTCAAATCCATCTACCTGTGTACACTGTCACTACCCTAGTGTGTTATAGGCCATAAAAATCTCTAGAATTTTAACTAGAAAATTTTAACATCCTAATAGGTCTACCTGCTTCCAATTTTGTTACTCCTCCAATTCATTTGCTACATTTAAAAGCAACCTTTCTTAAGGAAAATCTGATTACATCATTCCTATGTCAATTCTTCAACGGCTCATCACTGTCCTTAAACTGAATTCTGAACTCTTTAACACAGCTGACAAGATCCTGCATGATTTGGCTTTGAATTCTCCACATCCTCTTTTCTTGTCATGTCCCACTCAATACTCAAAGCTCTAATCACAGTGAGCTGCTTTAAGTCTCTACAATATTTCCAATCCTCACTTCCAAACGTTTTAACATATGCTTCCCTTCCTGGGACAACTCATTCCCCATCCTGCTCTTCTCCCTAACTCAATTTCTTCAAATCTCGGTTTAAACATCATTTCTTCTATGAGGCTTTCTCTGACCTCCGTAAATCATTGCCTGTGTTTTGTGATGCCAAAGCACCCTGTATTTCTCCTCCATAAAACACTTACCGCATTTAAAACTATCTCTCTTCCATGAAGTAAGAGTTCCTTGAAGACAGAGACTTTTAAAAAACTTTCTAATGACTGGTGCAATACTGGCAAATTGTAATTGCTCATTAAATACTTAGTAGAAAGTGAAAATATGAAATAAAAAAGAATGAGAAAGTGAAGAAAAAAAATCCATACATGTTCTGTGTGAGCCATTCCGATTCCATCTTCCACGATTTGTTCTCCTCCTTCAATGTGCTGCACAATTCCAACTAATTTTCTGGAATAATCTGAGATTTCCTCTGTGAAGGTCCGTATGCAGTGAGCCATATCCAAAATTGATGCTCGGATCTGATTAGCTTCTGGTTCCAACACTGAATGCTATAAAATGTAACATAATTACAGAAAAGAACTCATAGTATTGACTAATAATATAAAAACTACTTAAATCCCTTTTAATACGAAGCATCAGCCACAAGTGACTTTTATAACACAGAAAAATACTAACTTACTTTTACTTTTCTCTCTTTTCATGCTACCAAACCATTCATCAATTCATTCATCAATTAACCCCTCTTGAATCGCTACTTTTAGCATAAAGAACCAGGTCAGAAAACAAATACTGAGCAGGTAAAGTAGCTACAGTGATTCAATTTATTAATAATTAAATGCATACCTTGTGACCTTGGTGTTTTCCATATTCTTTGCAGACACAGCACATGAGTGGGCTGGTTTGACAACCTTCTTCCAAGCAAACAAATTCAATAGCATGCACTTGGTGCTGAGAGCACATGGTTTTCTCATGAGGTTTATCAGCTAGAGGAACTCGCCTGTGCTTTGCTAATGTTTTTGTAGAATGAGTAACTTGAGAACACTCAGAGCACAAATGCGTTGCACACACAGTGCAATATACAGATGCAAGGTGAGCTTCATCTTCATCACAACGAATGATGCTCTGATAAACAAAAATTAATGCCTTAAAATTGAACCCAATCAGTATAACATGACACATTTTTAAATATAGAATCCCACAATCTTTTTGGCTTAACTGACCAACATTCATATATGAAAATATACTGGCCATGAAGCACAAAGGTCATTCAGTACTCATCTGAGAAGCATTCATCTCTATATGTAAGCAGCTATTTCCAAGAATAACTGACCAATATATGTTATGAATTTAAAGCCAAAAATAAAACTATTCTCATATCTATATTCAGTGCAAAGATCTCTTCCACCAAATCCCTGCACTTTACACAAGAAACTAAACCACTGAGAAGTAAAAAGTCTTCTTTTAAGACAAAAAAAATCTGATATTAAAAATATCCCCATAGCTTTAAATATCAGTTGGCATGATGATGTATAGGAAGGACAGAAGTACAATTGCTATTTAGATAATGTGGGATTATGCATCAGAATTAGCTATAAACTTTAAAAAACATAGTTGTCTGGATTCTAATCTGAGAAATTCTAATTTCAACAGGTCGTGGATGAAGCCTGAAGACTTGTACATATTTTTCTAATTATACGCCTTGTATTTTAATTCCCCACAGGTGAGTCTATTGCACAATCATGACAGAAAACCACTGATTTAAGCAAATAAAAAAAAAAAATAGGCCAGGTGCAGTGGCTCATACCTGTAATCCCAGCACTTTAGGAGGCTGAGGCAGGCAGATCACGAGGTCAAGAGATCAAGACCATCCTGGCCAACATGGTGAAACCCCATCTCTATTAAAAATACAAAAATTAGCTGGGCATGGTGGCACGTGCCTGAAGTCCCAGCTACTCGGGAGGCTGAGGCAGGAGAATGGCTTGAACTGGGGAGGCAGAGATTGCAGCGAGCGGAGATCGTGCCACTGCACTCCAGCCTGGTGACAGAGCCAGACGCCATCTCAAAAAAAAAGAAAAGAAAAAAGGCCAGGCTCAGTGGCTCATTCATATAATTCCAGCACTTTAGAAGGCTGAGGCAGGCAGGTGGGTCAGCTGAGGCTGAGGTAGGTGGATCATTTTATTTTATTTTATTTATTTATTTTTTTTTTTTGAGACGGAGTTTCGCTCTTGTTACCCAGGCTGGAGTGCAATGGCGCGATCTCGGCTCACTGCAACCTCCGCCCCCTGGGTTCAGGCAATTCTCCTGCCTCAGCCTCCTGAGTAGCTGGGATTACAGGCACACGCCACCATGCCCAGCTAATTTTTTGTAATTTTTAGTAGAGACGGGGTTTCACCATGTTGACCAGGATGGTCTCGATCTGCCGACCTCGTGATCCACCCGCCTCGGCCTCCCAAAGTGCTGGGATTACAGGCTTGAGCCACCGCGCCCGGCCTACGGTGGATCATTTTAATACTCCACAGGTGAGTCTATTGCAAATAATGGCAGAAAACCCCTGATTTAAGGGAAAAAAAAAAGGCCAGGCACAGGCACAATAATAAATGAGGTAATATTGTGCTAATAATGGCATACAATAAAAGAAAAATTCATGCTCATAAGAAATATTTCACCAAGTAAAATCAATACCTCTCCAGATATCCCAATGGATTCTTCTGCAGCTCCATACTGACCAATAGGCCCATTCTGCAGTCGTTCCAAAAGCTCCAATAAGGCAAAATTTTTTTTCAATCCCCAAACACCTGAATCTCCTAGAATAAAAACAAAACAAAAAACTAAATCTAACAAAATAGACTATTAACCATTTTACCCCATACCTCAAAAGTAATTTCTAATCATATAGTTCAGTAATCAATGTCTAAATTTTAAAAAAATCAAAATTTTCCCATTTTTTAATACTAAAATAATTGCTTTGTTAAAATACTCTCTTTTAAAAAACAGAAGAATCCCTAAGCCTTTCAAGTAGAAATACACTTTAAAATTCATTATTTTTTGGCCAGTTGCAGCAGTTCATGCCTGTAATCCCAGCACTTTGGGAGGCTGAGGCAGGCAGATCACCTAAGGCCAGGAGTTCAAGACCAGCCAGGTCAACATGGTAAAACCCCATCTATACATTTTTACAAAAATTAGCCAGGTATGATGGCAGATGCCTGTAACCCCAGCCACTCAGGAGGCTGAAGCACGAGAACTACTTAAACCTGGGAGGTAGAGGCTGCAGTTAGCCAAGATCATACCACTGCACTGCAATCTGGGAACAATACTCCGTCTCAAAAAAAGAACTGTAAATACACATAAAAAAATTATGACGGTAAAGGCTGCACAACAATGCGAATGTACTTAATGCCACTAAACTTAAAAATGGTTAAAATGACAAATTTTATGTTATATATATTTTGCCAGTTTAAGAAAATTATTTAGATAGCCTTTACTTTTTTTTTTTTTTTTTTTTCTGAGACAGTCTTTATGTTGCCCAGGCTGGTGTGCACTGGCACGATCTCAGCTTACTGCAATCTCCACCTCCCAGGTTTATGTGATTCTCATGCCTCAGCCTCCCAAGTGGCTGGGACTACAGGTGTGTGCTACCACGCCTGGCTAATTTTTTTTGTATGTTCTGGTAGAGACGGGGTTTGCCATGCTGGCTGGGCTGGTCTCAAACTCATGGCCTCAAGTGATCCACCTGCCTCGGCCTCCCAAAATGCTGGGATTACAGGTGTGAGCCACTGTGCCCAGCCAATTTTTCTATCATTTAATTTTACAAGTCCTATTTTGTCACTGACTTTCACTATATATACTAAAACAAGCATTTGCAAGTACTTTTTGCAGCAACCTACGTTAAGAAATACATTTTATATTGGAACCCAGGACAACATACACACTCTTTCTGAGTCTATGAATAAAAGTCAGATCCTTCAGTAGTAGAAGGAATATTTGTTATGGTAAACTCCTATGCCACAAATACCATCTGACATAGCTGCCACCTAATACATATTCATTAAATGAATAAACATATAAAAGGTTAATGTAGTCATTGCCTGCAGGGCTCCCCTTCCTCTTGGCCCTTAAAAAAAAGCCATTCCACACTATGGTTCTCCCAAAAAAAAACCTAGACTGAACACATCTATCCTCCTCTCTGACTTCTGTGACCTCCTTTCCCAAGTACCATTATACAGACCCCCCCAACCCAGAATTGCTCCCTCAGCCTTGCCCCCAAAAGGCTTTCTGCCTAATTTTTAACACATATTCTAAAACAAGCTGAGTTCTACTTATATAAAGGTTAAGACGTACACTAAGTGACCATTTAAAAATATAGTCTTGACAATTTTCTAAATAACCAGTCATTACATAATGAATATATACAAATAAACTCCTAGCATTACTAGGTAGTGCCTAATATATCACTTAATTCTGTTAAGTGTCAAAACAACTCTACAATTTCAATGGCTTAACACAACAAAAATTTTCTTTTTGCTCATGCAACATCTCAGGGGTTAGGGAAGACAAGACAGACTCTGTTCCCCACTGACCACAGACAGGGACACAGGTTACCAAGTTTCCAACCATCTGGACCACCTCACTGTAGCAGGAAGAAGAATTTACTTCAAAAATCATAAACCTTCTATTATCAACTTCTACTGGAAGCTAACACCTCACTTCTGCTCAAATTTCACTGATCAATGAACATCACTCAGTGATGTGTAAGAGGGCAAGAAAGTGTAATTTCATCATATGAACAGAAGAAAATCAGAAATATTGCTGAATAGTATTAAGAACTACTCATATTCTTCTTGGACTAGAGAAGAATTCTGATTCAGAATTCAGAGAAGTCAAAGAGGAGGACAGATCTACTCAGTCTAGTTCCCTATAATAAATTTATAGTGTAGTTAAACATTAAGGATAGTAACTCCTCACATTGTATTACTAATATAGAGAAGGCAAAGTGCTCTTCAAAAAGATAGAAGAGCTGGGTGTTATGGCTCACACCTGTAATCACAGCACTTCGGGAGGCTAAGGTGGGTGGATCACTTGAGGTCAGGAGTTCCAGACTAGCCAGGTCAACATGGTGAAACACCATCTCTATCAAAAATATAAAAATTAGCCAGGTGTGATAGCAGGTGCCTATAATTCCAGCTACTCCGGAGGCTGAGGCAGGAGAATCACTTGAACTCTAGAGGTGGAGTGAGCCGAGACTGCACCATGGCACTCCAGCCTGGGCGACAGAGTGATACTCGGCTTTAAAAAAAAAAGGGGGGGTTAGCCGGGTGCGGTGGCTCACGCCTGTAATCCCAGCACTTTGGGAGGCCAAGGCAGGTGGATCACGAGGTCAAGAGATCGAGACCATCCTGGTCAACATGGTGAAACCCCGTCTCTACTAAAAATACAAAAATTAGCTGGGCATGGTGGCGTGTGCCTGTAATCCCAGGTACTCAGGAGGCTGCGGCAGGAGAATTGCCTGAACCCAGCAGGCGGAGGTTGCAGTGAGCCGAGATCGCGCCATTGCACTCCAGCCTGGGTAACAAGAGCGAAACTCCATCTCAAAAAAAAAAAAAGATAAAGGGGGGTTAGAAGAAAGGCTCTATCCTCTATTTGCAAAATGTTACTATTTATTTTAGTTTGTTTGTTTGTTTGTTTTTTGGGTTTTTTTTTTGAGATGGAGTTTTGCTCTTGTCACCCAGGCTGGAGTACAGTGGCAGGATCTCAGCTCACTGCAACCTTCACCTCCCAGGTTCAAGCAATTCTCCTGCCTCAGCCTCCCGGGTAGCTGGGATTACAGGCGCCTGCCACCAGGCCCAGCTAATTTTTATATTTTTAGAAGACACGGGGTTTCACCATGTTGGTCAGGCTGGCTTCAAACTCCCGACCTCAGGTGATCCACCCTCCTGAGCCTCACAAAGTGCTGGATTACAGGCGTGAGCCATCACACCTGGCCTAAGTATAGTTTTATTTAAAGAAATAGTATGATATATGCATATCTTACAAAATAAAAGACCAAATAAAAGTACAGAGACTTTCCCAATCCTTATTATTTCTTGGCTACTGGTAAGTTACTGCTATCTATAATAATGCTATCATTATCCTATATTAGTTGTCAGGCAAATAGACATACTATTTATAAACATCAAAGATCACCAAAACCTTGAAAATCCTTTTCTTTCCCAAGAAAATATTTTTAAACCATGTTTCTTAGCATTTTAAAGTCTTCCAGCCTAAAATTACAGGTACTCTTCCTTTTTTTGATGGATAAATTATTTTGAATGTGTTCCCCTTGAAAAATAGTATGAATACATTAAAACAGTCTTAAAAGTGCAACTGACCTGGAAAAAAAAATGGCAACCTTAAACTCTTTTGGAAAAAAACTCCCTTATCAAAAAGAGTAAACTCACAGAACTTATATTTGTAAAAATAATTGTTCAAATGTTAGTAAATACTATTATTTCCAAATCTGGTACCTGAAAATAACTTACTTTGAAATATATTAAGAAAGTTTTAAAAGTATATAGAAAACCACAAAAAAAAAATCCACAAACCCTTCAAACTTATTTTAACAGAAAATAAAGAGTAACGATCACAAGCTACAAACACTTCCGTCTTTGATATTAGTAAATAAAAACATTCTGAGACTCTAATGACTTACCTGTATTTTCATTATTGGCTTATTTATTTTTAAAGAAAATATTGTTTTATTGGGTTAATGGTTTCAGGCAAATGATTCACCCTGTGATGCATATTCTTATTTCATTGAATCAGGATAGCAGGTTTTTCTTAGGTGACTTAAAGCTCTTTACATGTAAGTATTGAATATAAACATCTCAGAAGATAAAATTACTAAGAGTGAGATAGTTTATAGCTTGAAGATTATTAATCTTAACAGAAACTCAGGCTTTCTAAAACTTCCTGGGAATTTTATCATTTTAAAAACCAAGTGAAAGGAAATTGTTTTCTATGACATTTGCATTACATGAACAATTTTCAATCTTAAATCCACACAAATAATTTTCCTACCTAGGTCTGTTACTTGTCGATCAAATGGGCAACGGATTGCTCTTCCATGAAGAGGTAGGCGAGTGAGACAGTCATGACAGACTGTATGGCCACAAAGCAAAAGTCGAGGAACTTTGTCTCCTTGCAAAGAAAAGACGTCTTCACAAACTCCACACTCTAGCACCTAATATTTGAAAAGAAAGGATGCGCTCTTCAAACAATTTTAAAAGCATACATTTTTAAGTATGTAAGAAAACTGACCTAATATATTGAATCAACATTGTTACTTTATTCCTCCATGAAAAAAACTATGTAGGTTGTAAAATCTTAAATCATTTTTAAGTCATTCAATCTGACAGACCCTGCCAAAATTATAATGAAATATCTTTGAAATACTGTTAGAGGCAAAGATGCTGTAAGTTAACATTTTCATTATCTTTTGAAAATTATGATTGACTCATTACATCTGAATCTGTACAAATATATAATTCTACTGAAAGCGGGTTCTTAAGCAATTTCTCTGCAACTACCTAACCTATGAATAATCTCAACAAAATAAACTATCATTAATTTCAACAAAATAATCTAAAAAATGTACAGAGATAATAATTACTCTTGTAAATGATAAAGAACTTATTAAGACTACAAGTAACTTTCAAGTATCTTCTAGTATCTAATTACATCAAACAATATAAAGGCAAAGAAGCAGTCACCTTAAACTTAAATTTCAATTCCTGTTCTCTATCAATAAATATAGCTCTGAATTAGAAACTAGTTTATCTAGTTCTAGTTATAGGCAAATGACTTGCACAAGGCTACACAGTCAGTCAAAAGAAAGGCTATTTATCAGCATATTCTGATTCTCAAGTCCATAAGTTTATGTTTTATAGTCAACACTGTATTTATACCAATAAAGCATTTTCAGCACTTATTTCTAAGTATATTTGTAGTGTTTCCATTTTTGTTAATTTTTTTTAAATGCCTACACTGTACTATTCAATCATACCTCAAACTCTTGTGTCTGCCATTCAAGACCTGCTACAAACTGGTTCTTGTCCTACTGCTTCACTGCCACACTCTTCTGACCCTGTGCTCCAACTATATCCAACAGCTTGTAGTTCTCAGAACATGAAAAACCGTTTCATGTCTCTTCATGCTAACGCTGAGGAAAGGACTACACTTGTCCCTTGGGCCCAACTCTGTGTAAGTGTCTACCATAACATCCTAAGCACTTTAATACCTTTACCAGTTTTTCAGCCTGTTTTTCCCTGTTAGACCAAAGAACCCTCAGAAATAGGATATTTCAAATACCAAGTACCTACTGCTTACATAAAGTCCAGCAAAATAATTTAAAAGCAATTAAGCCCAAGGAAGAAATCAGACTAAATCTACTACGATTTTAAACCTAACTCTGCAATTAACTTGGACTTAGTGCATGAGATGCAAATATCTTTCACCATAAATAAAGTGATAATTCAGAATTGCCTTTCATCTTATTATGCTTCAAAAGAAATTTAAATTTAGTCCTTCAATGTAAATAAGGCTTTGGGAAAAGAAAAATAAATAAAAATAAGAAACATTAACATTGTTCACAGAAAAGAAGATGAAAATTCTTTACATGAAAAGATGTTCAATCTAACTAATAAGAAAAATGCAAATTAAGGCTGGGTACATTGGCTCACACCTGTAATCCCAACACTTTGGGAGGCCAAGGATCAGGAGTTTGAGACCTGCCTGGCCAAGTTCAAGATCAGCCTGGCCAACAAGGTGAAACCCCGTCTCTACTAAAAATACAAAAAAATTAGCTGGGCATGGTGGTGAGGTGCCTGTAATCCCAGTTTACTCAGAAGACTGAGGCAGGCTAATCATTTGAACCTGGGAGGCAGAGGTTGCAGTGAGCCAAGATGGTGCCACTGCACTCCAGCCTGGGTGACAGTGTGACTCAGTCTCAAAGAAAATAAAGAAAAGAAATGCGAACTAAAGTTACATCAAAATACTTTTTTTCAGATTAGATAAAAAATGTTGGTAACACTTGGTTGTGAAGGTGTGGGAAAGGAGACACTCATACATTACTGATTACTGTGAAATGTTCATTGAGCAATATTGCTTCTATGGAGGGCAACTTGTCAATACTTACCAAAAATTTAAATAATTCCGTAATTCCAGTTGCAGGAATTTATCCTACAAGCATATTAGACATGTGTGACAAAATCTGTCTGTTATTCCTTAAAACACCATTTGCATTAGCAAAAAATTGAAAACAAAGTTAATATACATCAATTATCAGCTTGGAAAATGAATTATGGTACTTAATAATACTAAAAAACTACATAGGCTAGTAAGAAAAAGTTTTTCATGTATACACAAAATGATTTCCTATGACTAAAACAAAAAGAAAAATGATAAATAGAATATATTCATTTTTGCATAAAAACAGGGAGAGAGCAAATTTCTTTTATATTGTTGTATAAGCATACTATCTTCCTGGAAGGATATATAGGATACCAGTAACACTGGAACATTGGTTCCCCATGAGAAAGTGACACAGCTGGAGAACAGCTACTCGTGTATAATTCTATCATTATATAGAGAGAGACATACTTCAGTTTATCCTCCATTTTTTTAAAAGGGAAAAGTTTCACATTATCAAATTCATTTAGACCTGGCACTGTAGCTCACACCTGTAATCACAGCACTTGGGACACCAAGACAGGAGGACTGCTTGAGGCCAGGAGTTCAAGACTAGCCTGGGCAACACAGTGAGACAATGTCTCTATAAAAAAATCAAAAACTGAGGTGGGAGGATCACTTGAACCCAGGCGATCAAGGTTGCTATGAGCCATGATCCTGTCACTGCACTCCCACCTGGGTGACAAAGTGAGAACCTGCCTCAAAACAAAAATTTCCAATTAAATATAGAAAAAAATATTCACAATGGAATTTGATATAAAATAAATGCAACACTTAATAAGTGCTATTATACTATAATAAATTTAATTTGTTTATGACAATAAATTCCAAAGGACCATATTAAAATTTTATTTAGTTCATTTAAATCCTGTATTTCTGATCCCATCAGTATACAAGATTTAAAAGGACTTCCTTATGCTGTTATCATATTTTTTAAAAAGTGTTAATAAAATTTCATTGATTAGCAAGCTAAACATAGGTCCAAAACTAAAGTTACCAGACTATTTTGCATCAATTTGGTAAATAATACAGCAATAAATTATTTCCTCAGTATCTATAAATAGGAATTGTGGCTAATATCAAAAAGTCCTAGACAGGAAAAAGCTCTTAATTTTACACTTCACAAAATGCTAAAAGAAAGCTTCAAACTTATTACATGTAAATCAAACTGTGATCAGATTGTTATTTATTATTATTATTATTTTGAGAAAGATTTTCACTCCGTCAGGCTGGAGTGTAGTGGCCTGAGCATAGTTCACTGGAGGCTTGACCTCCTGAGCTCAGGCAATCTTCCTGCCTCAGACTACCAAGTAGCTGGTACCACAGGCATGAGCCACCACACCTGGCTAATTTTTTAAAATTACTATTTGTAGAGGTAAGGTCTCACTATGTTGCCCAGGCTGGTCTTAAACTCCAGAGCTCAAGCAATCTTCCCACCTCGGCATCCCAAAGTGCTGAGATTAAAAATGTGAGCCACTGTGCCCAGATCCAGACTAAATTTCAAAAGGCCTAAGGAGACTCACTAAGCAAAAGAAATTCTGTGATACATTTTTAAATGTCAGTTATTTCATAATATCAGATTTTGCACTTTTTATTTTTCAGATGGAGTCTTGCTCTGTCGCCCAGGCTGGAGTGCAGTGGCATGATCTCAACTCACCACAACCTCCACCTCCCGGGTTCAAGTGATTCTCTTGCCTCAGCCTCCTGAATAGCTGGAATTAACAGATGCGTGCCACAATGCCCAGCTACTTTTTGTATTATTAGTAGAGACAAGGTTTCACCATGTTGGCCAGGCTGGTCTCGAACTCCTGACCTCAAGTGATCTGCCCACTTCGGTCTCCCAAATTGCTTCCCAGGCACTTTGTGCTTTACAGGTGTGTGCCACCGTGCCCAGCCACAATATCAGATTTTTATGTCACTGTTTTCTCTAATGATAAAAACCATGTCATTATCAACTTGTTCACAAGCAAAAGGCCATTTTACAGAGTATGACCATTATATACTTCAACTTTTACCTTCCAATAAATACTTCTTGCTTTTATCTATAAAAATGACAATGAGTTAATTTATGCCACTATACCTATGACAAATTATGGCATGAAGATTTTGTCAAAAAGGACTTTTTAGTTGCACAATTCAGGAATATTTTACATGTTAAGATGAAAACGAACAAGGTGAGACTCTAATGTATCAAATTATGTGCTATAACAAACTGGAGTTACATCAGGTCTTGGTACACTTTTGAGACTGTAAGGTAAACAGGGTAACAAAAAATAGATACTGCAATGATACCCATTCCAATTATGAAATAAAACTTCAAGTTAATTCACAAAGTACTCTGCAAGTATTCTCTACTTAGCAAAAGCACAATTCAATAAATAAAATCTCAATCACACAACATGCCTAATAATGAGGTCTCCTTTGGATATCAGATACCTGCAGAATAACTTTATTAGTACATAAAGGTCGTCTGAATCAACAACCACCAATATTGACTGATACTAAACTGTGGGAAGAAATGTCTCATTTGCTGTTATATAAAACCAACTGAATACTATTAACTGAATAATCATAGGCGTTTATTTTTCAAGATGTTAAAAGAACTTCAGATATTATCTTGTTCAGTAGTTAACCCTGGTTGCACATTTTAAAAACTTCAGGGAATTCCTAAAATATACTAATATCAACCTCATCAGAACTGGAGAAGGACTGCATCAGTAGTGTATTAAAAATCCTCAGTGATCCTACTATGTAGCTAGGAATGAGAATTATCAATCTCTTAGATTAGAGATGCTCCTGAAGGTTACTCTATAAACCAACGAGATCAGTTCTCCCCTCCAGATCTTTCCATGCACACAGTGGAAGGGAAAAATGACTGCCATTGATTTTTTTGTAAATTCATTTTGGAGCATGTATACATGGTAGAATCTAACTTCAAGCCTAAGGAAATTCATAAATTCTATCGTTAATGCTCAGCTATGATGTTGCAGACTTCTGAAACGTGTTAACAGACTGTACTACGAAAAGAGGAGAGGGCAGCTCAACCAATAATAGATTCTGATTACAGACATAGTACAATAGCGAAAAGCATAGACTTTAGAGCCGGTCAACTCTGGGCTCTGTCATACACTGTGTTAACCTAAACCTGGGTTTCCTCCCGGTAAAATGGGAATTAAATCTACTTCACAAGTAGACATTAACAAACTAAAACACCTAACGTAGTACGTTACAATGATGACGGCTCAATTTATAATACTAAGCTAATTAATGCCTGTTGAGTTTAACTAGAAGCAAAGAAACTGGGGAAAGACCTGTCTAGGTCACTGACACTGGCCCGCAAGCTCCTTTTCGCAAATGTCTCGATAATGACATGTCATGAGCAGAAGACCAGGCAATTTCAGGCCGTAGGAGGAAATGGTCGCAGAGGAGAGGACAAGACTTGTAAAACCAAAAGGGGCCCAGAAATCGCGCATCCCACCCATCGAAGCCTGGGCCACGGCGATGCCTCCTGGTCTCCAGGATGAACCGAAGGTAGGCCGATGGTGGAGAACAGAGCACGTAAAGTACCTCACCTTCACTACAGCTGTCCCCCGGCTGCCCTGCCGGCCACTGTCTACTCCCGCTCCAAGCTTGTTTACAAGCAGGGTAGCCATCCTCGTCGGAGCAGCGCCACAGATGCAGCCCTCAGAATCCTCAACTGAGAGGCGGGGTTGAGCTACCTACCCAGAAGCCTCTGCGCACGCCATCGGCGCACAGGCGCAGTAGGACTCGGGGCGCCGCTTAGCCGACTCTTAACACCGCCTGCCGGCAGTCGTGGGGTGTTTCGTTGCACAACCTTGCGCATGGGCACTTTTTTATTTTTCATTACGTAGTCTGCAACTGCTGGAAAAAAGGTTTAAAAAAAAGGAGAGATAAAACAGAATTAAAGTTCTGGGGTGAAACTCCCGCTCCTGTAATGATTTCTCTCGAATCCTAAACCAGCCAAGGTGTAAACTGGGGGTGGGGGTGTGGCGGGGGCGGGGCATCTCCCTGCCTGCAACAAGATATTTGTATAAACTACAAATCCCAGTATGCCACTCTCATTTTTTTACGCCGGTAACGTTAGCCTTTGGGAGGCCGCCTTTGTTGCCGAGGGGTGGGTTCCTGAAGTCGCTATGTATGACTGCAGATAGAAAGCAAAATATTTTATGTATAGGATAGGTTTCTAAGATAAAAGAGATGTGTTTGGTGAAAAGAAGCCAGTCTGTAAAGGACATAGTAAGAGAATTTAAGGTACCAACACCAGAGAGAAGTTGATTGTGCGTTTGACTCTTGGTCTTCACCAAACGCGAGGTTTTTCCGTTTTCTTCCGGGCCAAGTTGAACCTGTCCAGCCCCCGTAGGCCGTGGGTCAAAAGTGCCGGTCAAAATGGAAGTGAATCCCCCTAAACAGGAGCACCTGCTGGCGCTGAAAGGTAAACTTTTGCGAATCTGAGTCCCCTTTTTCTGTTTTCTTCCCTTCCCTATTTCTCGAAGCCTTTGCCATGTAGGCCTCATCCTTCTTAAACACAGTCAGTGCTCGCCCTCCTGCTCTGTCCCTTGGCGCCAAGCGGAAGGAAGCGATTTCGCCTGGATGCTTTTTAGGTTTAAGGGCCCCTTTATAGAATGAAATAGATAGTTTGTAAATCATTCTTTCTGATCTATGGTGCTTCAGTCACCAGAGTTTAGCCGCAGAAGCTAACATCCCGCCCCTATCGTGGAGATCTCTCTGAACTAGGATGAATTACAGCGGGCATCTAAAGTGCTTTTTCCCCTCTGTCTCTTGTCTCTTCATGTGGCACTGATGAAGTTAACAGGCTTCAGCTTCCTCTGTAAAATTAGTATTGCATGGCAGTAGTGCCAAGAATTTAGCAATACATAGTAATACAACGTGTAACTTAGAGTTATTAAAAACAAACTGCAGTTTACTTCAAAGCACTGCACTGTATGTCGGAAACAGGTCCGAGATCTAAGGTCAACTCTCATTTTTTGTACACGGCCATTTTGAGTAAGTTTGATAATTTAATTAGATCACTATTTAGGAAAAAAAACAGCAAGACAGTTTTGGTTTTTCTTAAGGGTAGTTTTTTTTAATGCCTATTATTTTCTGAAAACCTTTTATTTGAAATCTTCAGTTTTATTTTGTTTTTGTTTTTTTACTACAACAAATGCAGTTTTGTTTCTTGTATGCTCTAATATGGCTTGAAGGAGCTGAGGAAATAAATGCTCAATAAACATTTGGATTCAATTCAGTTGCACTTATGGCATCCATTTTGAGAGATGCCTTAGCCTTCCCATTATGATGTAATCATCAGACATTCTAGAAGCTCATTAGTCTCATTTGTAACATAGAATCATGTAATGATGCCTTAGTTAGCAAGACTGTCTCTTATTGTGGACCTTTGTAATTTTAAGTGATAAAGTGGTGGCACCTGTAAGCTTAACCTGAGCAAATGATCTAGACTAAAATGGATTGTTACTCTTGGAAAAGAGGGAAAAGAAGAAAAGCATGTTTTTTATCTCTCAATCTCACTTCAAGTATGTGGAGTAAATATTAATTCTTATAGTTGAAGCAACTTTTCCAAGATCACATAGCCAGTAAGTGATTGAGGCAGTATTTCAACATAAGACCTGCCTCTTTTCAAGAGTCCATGTTGCCTCCTAATGAATGAAACAGCATTCTCAGAGATAATTCCACTACCAACTACGTGGATGGGAATTTTGAGCAGTTCTATTAGCTGCAAGGTGTAGTTTGTACAAATTAGAAGCTATTAAAAAGTAAAATACCAGTGAAACAGAGACTGCCACTGGGAGTTTTTAGTTTTCTGTTATTCTCTGTTTTCCAAAACAGAGGGTACCTAGGAAGGAATATTTAAGCAGCCTAGGCCAGGTGCAGTGGCTCACACCTGCAATCCCAGCACTTTTGGGGGCCAAGGTGGGCAGATCACTTGAGGTCGGGAGTTTGAGACCAGCCTGGCTAACATGGAGAAAACGTGTCTCTACTAAAAATACAAAAATTAGCCAGGTGTGGTGGCAGACACCTGTAATTCCAGCTACTCAGGAGACTGAGGCAGGAGAATCGGTTGAACATGGGAGGCAGAGGCTGCACTGAGCTGAGATTGCCCCACTGCACTCCAGCCTGGGTGACAGAGTGAGACTCTATCTCAAAAAAAAAAATGGCAGCCTAAACGGGCAAATGTTTTAAAATTCACTGATAGTTTCAACTTTATTAAACCTCTTTGGTACCATCTTCTAGTTAACCCATTGTTCCAGCTAATCAAGGATTTTCACACTTCTCTATTTACTGATGTTGGATGCCAAGTGTATCAATTTAAGTGGTCATTTAAGTTCACTTTATATTTTTATATGTAAAATGTTAAAGATAATATCTTGTGCCAAGAGCAGTGGCTCACGCCTGTAACTCCAGCACTTTGGGAGGCTGAGGTGGGCAGATCACCTGAGGTGGGGAGTTCAAAATCAGGATTACCAACATGGAGAAACCCCATCTCTACTAAAAATACAAAGTCAGCTGGGGGTGGTGGGGCATACCTGTAATCCCAGCTGCACAGGAGGCTGAGGCAGGAGAATCGCTTGAACGTGGGAGGCAGAGGCAGCAGTGAGCCGAGATTATGCAATTGCACTCCAGCCAGAGCAACAGAGCAAAAACTCCGTCTCAAAAATATATATATAGATAATGTCTTGTTATTCTTGGTTGGGCGAGGTGGCTGATCACTTGAGATCAGGAGTTTGAGACCAGCCTGGCCAACATGGTGAAACCCCATCTCTACTGAAAATACCAAAATTAGCCAGCATGGTGGTGCACACCAGTGGTCCTAGCTACTCGGAGGGCTGAGGCACAAGAATCACTTGAGCCTGGGAGGTGAAAGTTGCCATGAGCCGAGATCATACCACTGCAGTCCAGCTTGGGTGACAGAGCAAGACTGTCTCAAAATTTTAAAAAATCATCTCTTCAGTATAACACTGATTGAGTTCAGATAAGAGATTTTCTTAATGCCATTTCACATTTTACAATGTGAAAGTATAAGGAACGGAAAAAAAACATTAGTGCATTATTAATTCTTGAAGGAATACGTGATAACATTTAGATCCATATTTAAAATAATGGATGTTAAAGATCACATTTATGAATTTGAGAGTTGTCACATCTGTTAGTGGACAGTAACAGTAAGTAAAAAGAATCATGGAATTAGTTACTTCTTCTTACTCTTGAGAGTCAGACAGTGATTCTGTTGTGACATCATGACAGGAGTCCATACTCATGGTTATCCTAGCAATGGGAGAACCCTCATCAAGTAATTCTTTAATGATTTTTGGGGAGAAGGAATTCAACCCATTTTTTTCTGCAATTGTTAGGATGTGAAAAAGCCTGTTCTGTTGCCCTTACAACTTTGGGCCTGGTTAGGAAGCCTAACTTGCAGATATTGGAAGGCTCCATTCTTGACCCCATGTACCATATGCTGGAATTTATTATCAGTAACTTAATGTGGCGCAACTTGAGGACTTCTGTGCTCTAAGAGAAAAAAATAGGAGTCTAGACTTCTTGTTTTCCTCCAAACTGGAATACAAAAGCCATGGTATTAGGGTCTCCATACTGCTTAATTGCCTGGATTATATGGAGAAGACAGAGTCACAAAACTGGTTCTTGGCCTGGTTAAAATGCAAAGTTAAACCATACTCATGGTTTTAGTTTTTACTACAGAGAATGAAATGATATCATCAAATAATCTATCTATATATTTGTTTGGTGAAATCCATATAATTTGTTGTTGAAACTGAGTCTTGCCCTGTCACCCAGGCTGGAGTGTAATGGCGTGATCTCAACTCAGTGCAACCTCCACCACCTGGGTTCAAGTTGATTCTTTTGCCTCAGCCTCCTGAATAGCTGGGATTACAGGCATGCACCACCACGCCCAGCTAGATTTTTTATCTAGGAAACAGGAGGTTTCACCATGTTGGTCAGACCTGGTCTTGAACAACTGACCTCAGGTGATCCGCCCACCTTAGCCTCCCAAAGTGCTGGGATTACAGACGTGAGCCATTACACCTGGCGAATCCATATAATTTTCAAGGATTAAATGATTAATTTTCTTCCAAACAGGTTAGAATTTTTTTTTCTTTGAGACGAAGTCTTGCTCTGTTGCCCAGGCTGGAGTGCAGTAGCCCAATTTCAGCTCACTGCAACCTTTGGCTCTGATGTTCAAGCTATTCTCCTGCCTCAGCCTTCCTAATAGCTGGGACTACAGGTGTGCACCACCTTGCCCAGCTAATTTTTTTTTTTTTAAGTAGAAATGGGATTTCACCATGTTGGAGTAGAATTTACAGTGATTTCATTGTCCTCAATTAGTTGTCTCAAATTTTCAAATATTACATTTTTTGTTAATTATTTTCATAGGAAAACTATTTTAAGAATCATTTATTTACTCTTTGTTTCTGCTATAGTTTTAAGACTATTAATACTTAATATTAATACTTCCAAGCCCTTTATATCTGTTAAGTTAAACACATTGACTACTAGCATTTTTAGGCCGGAAGTAATTTTATAGGGTATCTAATTCAGAGTCTTTATTTTGGTAAGAGAAAGAGTTTTCAGGTTTGTAGATTACATTCACATTTACCAATAGCACTTTGGTAAACTACCACTTTGGGATTGGTTTTTGGTTTTTGTTTTTCCTTTTCTCCCTGCCTTTTTTTTAGGTAGGGTATCCCTACCGTGTCTTATTGTTTGCAATACTTCCACTTTAGGTCATGTTTCCCTCTGATTTGGCAGGAGAGACAATCTTGCAATAATAAATTAACATTCTAGCTCTGAGGAGTTCAGCTAAGAAATTTTCTCATCACTAAGAGTAATTGGATTACTGCAGAATGACTACAGAAGTAATATTACATTATCGACCATATGAGAGTGATCCCACACAACTGCCAAAAATTGCAGAAAAGGCAATTCAAGACTTTCCTGTTCGTCCGCTATCAAGATTTATACCTTGGTTTCCATATGATGGGTCCAAGCTTCCACTCAGACCTAAAAGATCACCACCTGTGATTTCTGGAGAGGCAGCTGAAGATGTGAAACAGTACTTGACCATTTCAGAACATAATGCTAAATCACACAGTTATGATTGCACAGTAGATCTACTGGAGTTTCAACCTTATTTGAAACAGCAGCGTTTAATCTGGTCACAAACACTGAAGAAACAGACTAATTCTGGAAATCTGGATAAACAATCAGAAAAGGGAAAACAGTACAACAGGAGATCTTGGAGTATTTCCCTTCCCGGCAATAATTGTACCGAAAAGGTTTATCCTTTGTCTAAAAAATTGCAAGACAGTTTAAAGGCACTAAATTTACACTCACTTTATAGAGCAAGATGGACAATAGAAGACACTATTTGTAACAGCCAAACTCTGGAAGACATTTGGACAAAACTCAATCAAATTATTAGACACAATGAACTTCCATCTTGTAATGCTACAATTCAGAGACATCTAGGCCAAATATGGATATTCTGTGATATTATGTATTGTGAATATGTGGGAAGTCTTCTTAAAGGAAGATTAGCTCTTACTGGAAAAATTAATTTATCTGTGCATAAATATGGTGTTATTTTTAGTATGTAATGAACTCCACTGATTGTCAACAAGGAAGAATATTCCGAATGAAGTGAATATGGATAGAAATAGATGAAATAAATTTTACAGGCTTTTGAAAATTTTTAATGACTTTTAGAATTTCTAAGTTTGTCAATTAAGTCAATAACTGTCTGAGTTCTACTTATTAGCAGCCTTCTTTTAAATATGATAAATTATTGTTTACACTGAATTTGAAGGTAAAAATGTTCTGTTCCTTTTGTTTTGTTACAAACTGTGATTGAATTAGTCTTATGAATTAAGTTGTATAGTTTGGATTCTGGTGAATCTCTAAGATCTAATTTTACTGTATTTTTCTTTACTCACCTCAAATGTAATTAAAAAAAAAAACTAAAAACAATTCTCTTTGGAATGCTATTTATGTGGCATGAATGTAGTTCAGATTGGGAGACCAGCCTAGATTCATAATAATGTTTCCAAAGATATGTAATAACAATTGATGGGTTGTTTTCAAACAAAGATACAAAATGTATACTTCACCTAATACTATAATGTTTCTTTAAGGCTATAACCTGTTTTGAAGGAAAGTATCAAATGTTGAATAAGGGTCAAGTTATTGTCTATTTCTTCTAATACAGATAATTCAATATTAATGATAGTGCTAATTATTACTTGACTGATTATTGGAGTCATTTTAGGTTCCCCATAAGCATAATCTTATAATTGGATTTACATATCACCTCATAAAAATACTCAAAGGGATTAAAACAATAAAAGTGTTATGCAAACATATAAGCTTGTATTTGTTTAACATATTTAAATGCCTACCTTGCACTAGGTGTTAGGATATACCAAGGAAGGAGACAGACATGGACCCTGCCCTCTTGCAGCTTAGGTGTCATTACTACTGTTAAACACACCAGCTCCCTAAGAAAAATAAGACAGCACTTACTAGGTATATAGACATGTTTACCTTGAAGCACAGTGCCTATCATGGTAGGAGCTTGATAATGCATGGTAAATGTGCCCTTTATAGCCTGAGATGGCTGAGGTTGCTTAAAAGTCCACTTTTTTTTTTCTTTACAGCTTTTATTTTAGGTACAGATTTGTCATATGTACCTAAAATAAAAGTTGGAAAGAAAAATTTACAGAGGTTAAATTGTGTGCCACAGGGGTTTGGTGTACAAATAGTTTTGTCACCCAGGTAATAAGGATAATACCCAATAGGTATGTTTTTAGTACTCACCCTCCTGCCACAGTCCACCATCAAATAGGTCTCAGTGTCTATTGTTTTTCTTCTTTGTGCCCATGTATGCTTATTGTTTATCTTCCACTTATAAGTGAGAATATGTGGTATTTGATTTTCTGTTCCTGTGTAAATTGGCTTAGGATAAAGGCCTCCAGTTCCATCCGTGTTGCTGCAAAGGCCATAATCTGAAATTATGAAGAAAACAGTTGCTTTTCATACCAAATTGGGATCATTTTATTTTTAATGGAGGATTGTTTTTTACTTCCCCCCCCATCTCATCCCCTGCTAAACCACAGGAATCATGAAAAATTAAGCTTTACAAGACTTTTGTTTGTAATGGAAATTTGAACGTATGATAGGCAAAAATGGTGGCTAAACGTTTGGGTGAACTCAAGGACGGTAAAAAAAAAAAAAGAGTGTCTTAGGATTCCCTTGAGACTCTATTTTCTCTTTATTGAGATTTGATTTCTAATGAAAAAAATAATGGGAAAGAAATAGAAAACACCAGTTGGTACTAAAAGTGAACTTACCAGCCTAGGCAACATGGTAAATCCCCATCTGTACAAAAACCACAAAAATTAACCAGGCATTGTAGCATGGGACAGTATTCCCAGCCTCTTGGTGGGCAGGGATAGGGGGTGGGTCTGAGGCAGGAGGATCACTTGAGCTCAGGGTGTGAAGGCTGCAGTCAGCCATGATCATACTCCAACCTGAGTAACAAAGTGAGACCGTGTCTCAAAAAAAATTTTTTTAAGTTATTTTAGATGTTTAAATTGGGAGAAACTGCTTCTTCTGTATCACTTTCAGGGCACCTTTTAATCTGTTTTCATAGTTAAAAATGAAAGTGAAGGTTGGAAACACCTTCCCATATTCATCTGTAGTTGGTTAATACTCTGGAATAGAGTCCTACTTTGAATTCCCATGGGATATTTCTGGTAAGGCTTGAGAGTCCAGGTATATGACTCCAGACTTATAATTGATAATTACTGTAGAGAATTATTTTTGAACAGTGAAATCACCAGGGTTCAAATCTAGATTCTCCTACTTATCTACTAATATAATTCTTTTGTATGCAATTTGCCCTCTGCTGGCATTGTCAGTGCCCTATCTGTATATTGGGGTTAATGTAGTACCAACTTAAGAGAGTACTCATGAGAATTAAATGTGTTCATCTTGTGAAATATTTAGCATAATGCCTGGTGCTAGTAAATGCTAGCCATACAAAGTAACTTCTGAAATTTTAAGGGTAGCATTTGTTGACTATTTCAAAAGCCAGCTGCTTAATATAGCAAGGTTGTTATTGCCCTCAGTTTCTAAAACTTACACTTTCAAAATGATGCCAGTTACTTAGGGACTTTCATGAAGTGCTAATTATTTTATTCAGGGAAGATCTGAATAGCAGAACCTACACCAGATAAGAATGCTACAAAACTGAACTTAGTACATAAGAGCCTAGACCTCGTGGAGTTTGGAAAGGAGTGCTATAAACAAATATAGTACGTGATAAATACAAGGTACCATGAGAGAAACAGAATGACCCGTTACTTTGTTTCTGAAAAGATGACATTTAAGCTGAAACCAGAATGAAAAAGCCACTCAATTTGATATGAACACCATAGTTGGTGAATTAGTGGTTGGTGGTACATTTTTATATATGCTAGTGAATACTACTTATATTCTGAATTGAATGTGTAGGTCTATAGTCTTTCTAGTATTTTGGCTGTGATTTGAATGAATACTTTTGATAATGAACTAGCCCTCTGTGATTCATTTTCTGAAAAGTTTTACATTTTTAAATTTTATGTTTTTTAAAATTTTGATGTGGTCAAATGGCAGTCTTTCAAAGTAATCGAAAAAGATTTTTAAAAAATTATAGAGCATTCTACCCTCATTAGACTACATTTAAAAAATATTCAATTTCACTTTTTTCTACTTGTCTGTGGCTTAATTTTCGTCTATTAATTTATATTTTAAATGAATTTTTAAATTAAATTTTATTTTTCCAGGTAGCTCACTATTTGTCTTTGCACCTTTTAATGAATAATCCTTTTACTAATTGATTTTTTTTTTAACTATGTCCTATCTTGTTTTGGAAAACTAATATATCAGTATGGTCTTATACTAATAAGCCAATTAGTTGATTATGGACTTAAATATGTTATAATATGTAGTAAATTTAAGTCTTCCTCTTTCTTCTCCATTAATTTTTTAGCTTATTTTCATTTATTTGTTTATTTAGATAAACTTTAGATACATTCTGTCATGTTCCAAAAATCTTAGTTTTGGTTGGAATTATATAAACCTATACATTAACTGACATTTTTATAATTGCTACACAGAATTAATGTTATTTAAAGAATTGGCCAGGTGTGGTGGCTCATGCCTGTAATACCAGCACTTTGGGAAGCCAAGGAGGGTAGATCACTTGAGGTCAGGAGTTCGAGACCAGCCTGGCCAACATAGTGAAACCCCATCTCTACTAAAAATACAAAAAAAAAAATCAGGCATGGTGGTGCATTCCTGCAATCCCAACTACTTGGGAGACTGAGGCAGGAGAATCTCTTGAACCTGGGAGGCGAAGGTAGCAGTGAGCCGAGATCGCACCACTACACTCCAGCCTGGTGACAGAGTAAGGCTGTGTCTCAAAAAAAAAAGCAAAAAAACACTGAGTTTCCAGTGTTCATATTTTGTTGATATTGTTTACAGTGAAGTCACTTGGAATTTTTTAAAGCTTATGTTCCTAATATTATTTAAGCTTTAAAAATAATTTCCAGTTTCTCTATAATGAATGTATATTATGGTTACATTTAATTTTTGTAATTCATAAGTTGTAAATAAGTGGTTCTTATATAAAATTATTTTTGTAACATTAAAATTTTTAATAAATCACTGATGTGTGATAACCTTAGGAAATATGTAGTATTATATTTTATGTTAGTATAAAATGGATGAGTATCATACACTAGACTTGAGAATATTAACCCTAAGTAGTATTAATGTTTTGTTTTACTTTTATACTTCACAGTGATGCGGCTGACTAAGCCTACTTTATTCACCAATATCCCAGTAACTTGTGAAGAGAAAGACTTACCTGGTATGGCACATGCTTTCCTCTATTTATACCTAGGAAAAAGTTGAAACCTGAATTGGTACATTACCTTGGTCTAACTAAGCCTAGCCTTGTAAATCTTATACTAACCATTTGCTAGATTCTTTGTTGCCTGTTTTTGTATCATGTGAAAGGTGGCCATCTGAGTAACAGGCCTTATTCGTACTCTGCAAGTCCACATTATGTTTATATACTATGGCAATATGAGACTTACAGTTTAAGATATATTCATATTCATAATGCTATTAAAATTGCCTTCATCCTCAAATGTTGCATCAATATATGTATTAGCATTCCTTTTATTTAGAATTATTGGGGCTCTCTATAGCATATTGTGTACATTTTTCTTTGTTTCTAAAGTGTTCATTTCCTGTGAGATCAGAAGTTTTTGACATGCTTTTGTTGTATTAAAATCTAGAAATTAGACTTTTTAAATCTCATTTTTATCAAGAGTTTGTTTTTTAAAATGTCTCTCTCAGCTATTTCTTTATATAAGTAAAAGTTATTTAAAAGGTAGATGTTAGAATTTTATGTTTTTCTCTTCATTGAGGTGATCTCTTTAACCAGCTGATGAGAGATGATCCTTCAACTGTTAATGGTGCAGAAGTTTTAATGTTGGGAGAGATGCTGACTTTACCACAAAATTTTGGGTAGGTATGACATATTCACATAAGAAACCTTGTAAAGCTATTACAAATTGTGTTTTCAAAAACAGCTATGGGATGAGAAAACACTTTATGATACATTTACTTTTTTTTTTTGAGATGGGAGTCTTGCTCTGTTGCCCAGACTGGAGTGCAGTGGTAATATCTCAGCTCAGTGCAACCTCTACCTCCTGGGTTCACGCAGTTCTCCTGCCTCAGCCTCCTGAGTAGTTGGGATACAGGCACATGCCACCGCCCTGACTAATTTTTGTGTTTTTAGTAAAGACTGTGTTTCACCATGTTAGCCAGGCTGATCTTGAACTCCTCACCTCTGGTGATCCACCCGCCTCTGCCTCCTAAAGTGCTGGGATTATAGGTATGAGCCAACGCACCCAGCCCATGATGCATTTGAGTGGCAAAAATATTATTATAAGACATACTATGTGATTATAGCTTTCTCCTATTTAAAAAAAAAGATAGATACCAAAATGAAATGTTAATAGTGGTTCATAGGGTAATAGAATTTTAGCTTTCTTCATTAGATCCTACGATATTTTTTAATGGCTACATAATTCTTTTAACTACTAATCTAAATGTCTTTTTCAGAAGCAGCTCTCTTTTTTTTTTTTTGGCCTCATAGTCCTCTCCCAAGATGAGTTATCAGACTTGTCTGCTAATTAGGAACTCTAAATTTATTTCTTCTGTTATTCTTAGCTTTATTGTTAATCTAGATTAATAATAAGGTAGAAGCCCCTGGTTCCACTCCGGCTTCTGTGAGTTTGCAACTCACAGAATTTGAGACAAAAAAGGAATTTTACAGTTTGTTTTTATACTTTTACAGAATGTGGTCATTGACTAGAGTCTTGAAAAACTGGGAAATATATTAATGTAAAAAGTATAAAACGATGTAAAATAAAGCTACTGCTGATTTTTATACAAATAACTTAGGAAATAAATTGGTAAAAATACCCCAATATCAGTAGCTTAGATCTCTTCTAGACTCAGGGCATAAATTATTTCAAGAATGGAAACTTGGCTTTTTCTAACCTGTTCGGATACAAATCTTAAGACTTTAGCATAGACGTGATTTCAGTGAGTCTTATCTCTATCAAGATTGGCATTTTGTACAGTAGTCAAAGGCCAAGATACATCATGTTTTGTAGATTACATTCATATTTTGAATTGCGCTAGGTAATGAATGAGTGACCTAATGTGAACAAAGGAATGTTGAAACAATATTTTACCAGATCTCTCTTCTTTAGTAAATTTTTCTCCATTTGAAGTTCTTAGTGATTCTCAAACAGAGTATTTATTGTGAAACCTAAATGGATTTCTGCTTAAAAACTTATTTTATTTTACAGGAATATATTTTTGGGAGAGACCTTTTCCAGTTATATCAGCGTTCATAATGATAGCAATCAAGTTGTAAAAGACATATTGGTAAAAGTAAGTAACATTCTTACTTAGCATGTATTTTACTCTTTAAAAAAAATTTTTTTTTAGGCCGGGCATGGTGGCTAATGCCTGTAATCCCAGCACTTTGGGAGGCCAAAGTGGATGGATCACCTAATGTCAGGAGTTCAAGACCAGCCTGGCCAACATGGTGAAACCCCATCTCTACTAAAAATACAAAAATTAGCCAGGTATGGTGGCAGACACCTGTAGTCCCAGCTGCTTGGGAGGCTAAAGCAGGAGAATGACTTGAACCTGGGAGATGAAAGTTGCAGTGAGCCAAGATTGCACCACTGAACTGCAGCCTGGAGGACAGAGTGAGACTCTGTCTCAAAAAAAAAGTTTTTTTAATATCAATTATGTTTTTGGCACTTCATTAAATGCATGTTTGATACAAGAATTTTTAATTCTCATTAACAAGCACAAATGAATGCCAAAAATTATAAGTGTTATGCCAGGCACGAAAACATTTTTTCTAGTCAACAAGGTTTGTGATTGCTTGGGTGAGAAAATGTACTAGTCAATATATATCATTAACATAGAGAATGAAAGATCACTGGGGATTACATCAATCAGGAAGGTTTCTTGGAGAAGAGGGAATGCAAAGAGGATTTTGAAAGAATGGGAGGGTACGGACCACAAGGCAAGGGAGACATGGTAGTCAGAGGCAAAGACATAGCAGTACACATGTGTTATAACAGTGAACAAATTTCACTTGGTAAGAGTAGGTAAGGTGGTACAGATGAATAGTAGCTGTATTAGTCCTTTTTTCATGCTGCTGATAAAGTCATACCCAAGACAAGACAATTTACAAAAGAAAGACTTTAATGGACTTAGAGTTCCATGTGGCTGGGGAGGGCTCACCATCGTGGCGAAAGGCAAGGAGGAGCAAGTTACATCTCATGTGGATGGCAACAGGCAAAGAGAGAGCTTGTGCAGGGAAACTCTCATTTTTAAAACCATCAGATCGGCCAGGTGTGGTGGCTCACACCTGTATACCCAGCACTTTGGGAGGCCGAGATGGGTGGATTACCTGAGGTCAGTAGTTCAAGACCAGCTTGGCCAACATGGCAAAATCCAGTCTCTACTAAAAATGTAAAAATTAACTGGGTGTGGTGGCATGCACCAATAATCCCAACTACTCGGGAGGCTGAGGCAGGAGAATCGCTTGAACCTGGGAGGCAGAGGTTGCAGTGAGCCAAGATTGTGCCACTGTACTCCAGCCTGGGAGACAAAAGCAAAACTCCATCTCAAAAAAAAAACATCAGATCTTAGCTGGGTGTAGTGGCTCACACCTGTAATCCCAGCACTTTGGGAGGCCAAGGTCAGGAGTTTGAGACCATCCTGTCCAACATGGTGAAACACCATCTCTACTAAAAATACAAAAAATTAGCCGGGAGTGGTGGCATGCACCTGTAATCCCAGCTACCTGGGAGGCTGAGGCAAGAGAATCACTTGAACCTGGGAGAATCAGGTTGCAGGCAGCCAAGACTGTGCCACTGTACTCCAGGCTGTCTGGGTGACGGAGCAACAATTCATCTCAAAAATAAGTAAATAAAACCATCAGATCTCATGAGACTTGTTTGCTGTCATGAGAATAGCATGGGAAAGACCCACCCCCATGATTCAGTTATCTCTACCAGGTCCCTCCCATAATACATGGGAATTATGGGAGCTATAAGATGAGATTTGGGTAGGGACACAGAACCAAACTATATCAGTAGCCATACAATAGAGCATCTTGAAAGTCAGACTAAGGTTTTATTTAGCCTTTTTTGAAAAATTATTTTGCAAAATGGTAGGCAAAAAAATTAATTTTTAAAAAATCTGACCAGGCTTAAAGCTCACATCCGGAATTCCAACACTTTAGAAGGCTGAGGCAGAAGGATTGCTTGAGGCCAGGAGTTCAAGACTAGCCTAGGAAATATAATGAGACCCCATCTCTACAAACAATTTAAAAGGTATTTGAGCATGCTGGCACACATCTATAGTCCCAGCTACTCATGAAGCTGAGGTGGGAGGATTGTTTAAGCCCAGGAGTTTGAGGCTGCAGTGAGTTATGCCTGGGCACTCCAGCATGGGGTACAGTACAAGACCCTGTCTCTGAAAAAAATTTAAAAACAGTAGGCAGTTGGCTTTTGATCACTCTTTGTGTTAGAAAAACTGATATGAGCACATTGTATGGGTTGCTTTGTAGAAAACGGAACAGTTAGAAGACCTTTGAAATAGTTTAGAAATTAAAAGATAGAATATGCTAACTCGGCTAACAAAAATTTTTTCAAAAGAAAAAGTGGGCCAGGCGCAGTGGCTCAGACCTGTAATCCCAGCACTTTGGGAGGCCAAAGCGGGTGATCACGAGGTCAGGAGATCGAGACTATCCTGGCTAACATGGTGAAACCCCTTCTCTACTAAAAATACAAAAATTAGTCGGTGTGGTGTGGTGGCACGTGCCTGTAGTCCCAGCTACTTGAGAGGCTGAGGCAGGAGAATCACTTGTACCCAGGAGGTAGAGGTTGCAGTGAGGTGAGATTGTGCCACTGCGCTCCAGCCACCTGAGTAACAGTGCGAGACTCTGTCTCAAAAAAAGAAAAAGAAAAAAAGAAGGTAGGAATTCACAGTATGTCAGGGAGAAGTTGTCAAACCTGTCTTAGAGTGATTAGTTCAGATAATGAGAGTATTGCCAAAAAGGACCTCTAATTAGAATGAATTTGAAAATGATCATGGAGTTTTAAAGTTAACAAGGACCTTAGAGAACAAATAGACTCAACTTTCAGAAACTGGATACAAATTTGTGCATATACGTACATATGTTTGTGGACTCCATATGGATGGAGTCTCTACCTTTCATTAAATCAGGGGTTGGCAAATGACAGCCTAAAGACCAAATTTGGTCCATTGCCTGTTTTTATAGGCTTTTGAACTAAGAATGGTTTTCACCTTTTCAAATGATTGAAAAGAAAAGAATATTTAGAATATTTAGTGACATGTGAAAATTATATGAAATTCAAATTTTAGGCCAGGTGTGGTGGCTCACTCCTATAATCCCTGTGCTTTGGGAGCCAAGGCAGGAAGATTGCTTCAGGCTAAGAGTTTGAGACCAGCGTACACAAAACAGCAAAGCCCCACCTCTACAAACAAACAAACAAAAAAAAAAAGAAATTCAAATGTCAGTTAATTAATAAAGTTTTATTGACACAGAGCCATACTCATTTATTTGTTTATTATCTGTGACTGATTTCCAGCTACTACAACAGAATTATATAGTTGCAACAGAGATTGTGTGACCTGCAAAATCTAAAATATTTGTTAATGACTTCGGAGAAAAAGTTTGCCAACCTCTGCATTCAATTGTGAAAAGCTGATTTTCAGAAGTTTGAGAACATATACTTTTGTCTTCGTATGTTGTAAATGTTGAATTTCTTGGCAATCAGTAAATACTGAATTTATTCTTATAAGAAAGATTAATAAAATAGCAAAGGCATATAATTTAAGATGTCAGTACTATAAAAATAAAAGAATACAGTACTATGCATGTTCTAAAACGGGAATTTGTATTTCATGCCTTTATTCACTTTTATAACAAAAATAGCTATATATTAAGCAGTGCAGTACTCACCAGGGGTCTTCTTAGGCTCAACTAGACAGATTCATGATATATACATAATGCTATTTTTTTTCTTTTTCTTTTTTTTTTTTTAATTTTTTTGAGGCAGGATCTAGCTCTGTCACCCAAGATGGAGTGCAATAGCATGATCATAGCTCACTGAAGCCTAAAACTCCTGGGCTCAAGGGATTCTACTGCCTTAGCCTCCTAAGTAGCTAGACTTCAGGGTGTGACATTATCCCTGTCTAATTTTTTAATGCTGTTTTAGAGACAAGGTCTCACTATGTTTCTCAAGCAGGTCTTGAACTCCTGAACTCAAGTGATCCTCTTGCCTCAGCCTCCCAAAGTGCTGGGATTACACAAGTGAGCCATCGCACCTAGCCAGATAAGCCATTTGTGACATCGGAATCACTTAGGAGGATATACGTCATGAAGCACAGCATGATGCTGACCTGTATTTGTGTGTGTCGTCTTTTTATCAGGTTTTAGGTGTCAGTGTTATGGTTACTTAATAAAAGATTTCAGACATTTTTTCTTTATTTTCAGTGCTTTAGAACAATACGTGCATCAGGCTAGACTCAGTGGCTCATAGCTGTAATCCTAGCACTTTGGGAGACGAGGTGGGAGGATCCCTTGAGCCCAGGAGTTCAGGACTAGCCTGGGCAATATCATGATCGCTGTCTCTACCAAAAAAAATTAAAAATTCTCTGGCTGTGGGGCACATATTTGTAGTCCTATCTACTTGAGAGGCTGAGGCAGGAGGATCACTTGAACTCAGGAATTAGAGGCTGCAGTGAGCTATAATTGTGCCACTACATTGTGCCACTAGCCTGGATGACAGGGCAATACCCTGTCTGAGAAAACAAAACAAAACAAATACAGAGAACTGTGGATCATTTAGATTACCTATTCCTTGAAGGATTTGTAGAATTCCCTGCAAAATCACATGAGCTGTTTGTTTTTTTTTTTAATGGGGGAGATCCTTGATTACATTTTTTATTCCTTTTTTTTTTTTTCCTATGGATATGTTTAAGCAGTCTATCTCTAAGGGTGTCAATTTTGCTAAGCTGTTTTTTTCTAGGAAATAATCCATTTCAGTTCATGTAGATTTTCACGTTTATTTGCATAGAGGTCTTACAATTTTCTTCTGTTGTGATATTTTCCCCTGGTCATTTCTTAGGTTTAATTTGTTCTTAAGTTAGCTAGCTCTTGGTCTGTGTCTTTTAACTTCAAAAAGAATCCAAGACTTAAAAGATTGCTTATATCCAATATATTTATTTTCTCCATTAATTTGCGCTTTGCTTTTATTGTGCTTCTGTTTATTTACTTTATTCTTTTTCTACCATTTTTTAGCTAGGAATTTTATTCTTTTTTGATTCTTTGATTTATA